GAATGCCCGTCGATGGATCATTCTAGGAAAGCCAGCAACAGCAAAGAATTGTTTTTGGACTTCTAGTTAATTTCTTTCTTCTGGGAATTTAACGACTTGGGGACGCAAATGCGCAATGGCCTGTGAAGATGATGGAAGTGGCATTAATGCAGATAATCTTGATGATGGTGAGAACATGGAAAGTACTCCAGATGGAAGACTTGCTGCTGGGACAGGTGCAGGTAGAGCAAAGAGGGGGGATATCATTGATTATTATTTTACATAACTCAGACAAACATCTGTGTCAATGCAGATTAGACACGAGTCCAAACCAAGTTCTTTTATTTTACAGCACTTAGCCGAGGTCAATATACTTTCCGTCAACTGTGGGGGTAACCCAATCCCCATCTGCTCACACTCGTGCTTTAATTTCCATTCATTCAATTTGGAAAATTCACATCTTGATGTCATGTTCCTTTTGGGCCATTTCCAGCAGATAATCATCGAAATCCGCTTTTCTCTTTTTTACCTTTGGCAGACTTTGTTCTGGATTTTCTCCTATGTCTGATGTCTGCGCTAATCTCTGAAGAGGTAATGGCAAGAATTTTCGAAACACTAGTTGATATTGGTGTAACTAAAATGCCTATTCGAAACGAATCTGGGAGTAACCAAGTGAAGGAATTGGCTTTAATATAAGTGCCATAACTCTTGACTAGCTCTTATTTTCTTTTAGAGATCATGGGAGTCATTTACGTATTTAAAAAAAACAGTAATTTGAAATGGAGGAAATACCCATAATCAACATATTGCGTGGGAGCGCAGAGAATCTTAGGCAAAACCCTGATAGACCGTGCACTAACCTGTTCTAACTTCCAGAGGCTTGCCTTTGCTGTCCGAATCAAACGGATTGTGAAGCGGACTTTTGGCATGAGGAGGGAGCACAACTTCGTTGATGTAATTGTTCAACTCATCCATTTCAGGTGGCTCCTCTCCTCTGCCCGTCTTCTCCGCCTCTTTGCGCTGCTGACCGCGATCTTGAGTAGTCTTGACCTTCAATCTGTTCCACAGCCCCTTCAATTGGTCAAGGGATCGGGTGTTTCCACTGGGGCACGAGGAATTGTAAGCTTCATGTATCTGAAATCATAAATGAAAAAAGCCTGATACTGAGATTTGAAATGCCAAATAGCCTTTTATCGCCCATAGTTTCCTAAGAGTAAGTATCCCGAGTTTTCCGTTATACTCTCACTTATAGACCCACTTTTTAGACTTCTGACTTGTCTGTGCATGCAAATCTCCAAGAATACCCCTGATATACCACACTGAAATACAGAGCAGGATCAGAGAGAACTTACCATTTTCCAGGCGTGGTTCTTCTTATGCAAGGAGTCTGCATCATATCTCCTGCTCCCTACCCTTTGTATGTTCCTTGACAATCTCCACAAGATGAACGTTATCATCACCAGAGGAAAAGTTCTCCTCTTTCGTTCATTTTTTTTCGAAGTCCGAAGTGCCACAGAAGCCGAGAGGTTAGAAAATGCTTTATGTACATGAAGAACGGTTAGCCACCGTCTAACCATGGTTCACGCAATGGAAAGTAGACATCGGTTAACCGATGTTTTCGTAGACAGTGTTTAAACAATGACTATCGATAATCAACGTCTAAAATAAACATCGTTCATGCAATCGGCCCTTAGGGTTTATGATGCTGCAACGTTGATTGAAAACGTTGCTTCATGGGCACACAATCTGGGCATAGGGTTGTGAGTGGCGGTAACATTACCGGTTTACGCGGTAATATTACCAGTTAATTACCATTGACGAAAATCTTATCCAAATGGCGTTCTTTAGTTTGTATTGCACGGCAAAATATCCAATATTGTGATTCATGTATTTATTTGTTCATATTTGTTCATTGTCTCATAAGCTGGGCCAAGGCAGAAATCAATGAAGGGTTCAAACGTCTCTGGAGCTTCCTTCCAATTCTTGCGGGTGATGCTTTAATTAAGGTTTGGGCAGAGATTTTCTGATTCAGAGCAAAGATAATTTTTTTGTTCATCATGCTCAAATACACAATATATAAATTTTATCGATTTCGAATGCCTTTGTCATTTAACTCGTATTATCCTTGTCGTGAGCCAACATACGATATATACAAGAATGACTGGAGTATATGGTATGACGTCACCCGACATTAAGAAAGCAAAAGTTGTGCCTATTCCGACTCGGACCTCACTGTATCTTCACGCCCAAGCAGCCCTGAGCCAAGGCTGCGGGCGCGCCTTGCCTGCTCATATCTGGGATGTTTTTGACCCCTCATTTTCTTTCTTTTCCCGCAGTCTTTAAAAGTTCTCTTTGTTCCGTAAAAGTGGAACAAGGACTCAGGTTCAATAATGTTACTGATTGGTCATCAGTACAGTTGGTGGTAGAGTCTAATTCCTCTCAGAAATTCATACCATGCAGGAACCTGTCTTCATATCATTTTTGCGGGAATCGTGCATGTGCATGTGCACATGATATTGTGACTTCCACTTGATCCGATCCGCAAACTATGACCGCAACTGAATCAGTGCAGCGGGTGGAGCGCTCATATGCTTTTACGGTGGATAGCCATAACTTTAACTAGGTAGAAGCAGTCTTATATTAGGTTCTAGCGTTTGGCATAGAGTGAGCGCAGGCTAGCAAATGTTCAGGCTTTGATCCGGGTATTGCTATCGTTAAAGTCCTTTGTTTTCGATTTATGCAGAGATGATGAATGAGGCTATGGAAGGGATTGAGGAAGGTGTGAAAGTCGGGGGGAAGCTGCTGAAGGATATACGGTTTGCAGATGACCAAGGTATGGTGGCGAGCACAGAACAAGGACTTCAGAAGTT